ACATACATCAAAATGATTCTTGAACCATAAAGTTCCCTCCTTTGTTCACTAGTTTTAGATTTGGTTCTCTTTAACCCTAAAAATCACTCCTTGACTTGTTCCTACATGGATTTTCATGTAGATTCCAAAAATAGGCTTAGATTTGTGAAAATAAAACTGATTCTTCCAGCCACAAACCGACCAAACCACTAGAGGTTTTGACCCAAAATTTTCAGCTTTGCTTTTAGGCTTCCAACACTTGTTTCTTTTAGTCTACCCTACACCATTCCTCATTTTAAGCATCATGGAAGCCTTAAAACAATGAAAAGCTCATCCTAGGGTCCAGTTCTTCACTTGGCCAAAAATAACTCTCACAACAACAACCATGAAAAATGCTTTAAAATCACTTAAACTCACTTGCCAACACTAGGATCTAGCTTGTGTTGTTGTGTCTTAGCAAGTGTTATGATCAAAACTTCTTTCCCCTTTTTATTAATCAGTTTGGTCCACATTAAGAGAGGGAAGAGACAGATTTTAAACCATAAAAATGAAAGAAACCAAAGCAAGAACACTTCTAGGACCAAGATCTAACCTTGAAACCTTGCTAGGATGATCAAAAGTGCTCCCTTTCTCCTTGTTTCCTCTCAAACTCTCTCTTTTTCTCTATTTTTCTCCCTTGCACGAAATGAACATCTGAAAATGGGGAGAGAAGAGCTTGATTAAGGCTTCAAAATATCCCAACCACCTTCTTTAATGATAGTCCAAGTGTCATTACCCTACTAAGTCTTGATTCCTCTCTCTTAATTAACATAATTCCAAATGAAATTATTTACTAAAGTCAAAATCCTCTCCATTCATGGAATGACACTTGGCTAATTCAAATCTTCTCCTTCAAGAGCTTGACACATGGCTCAATAGGATCCCTTGGATTTGCAAGACACCAATCTTGCTTTATCGGTATACTTTAGGCTCTGAGTTTAACTTCTTTTTATAATTACAGTAACTTAGTCTCTGTAATTATTTTCTATCAGATCCTTAATTTATTCTCCTCATTATTGTCTTCCCAAATTGTCCTCTTTGTCTCAAAATTAATTTCCTAATATTTAAATAAAAAGGAAAATTAATTTCCTTCTCTTTAGGGATTTTTCCACTTTTCACATTTATTTGGAAAAATCTTGGACACTTGAGGGTTCCATTTAATTCCATAATTCCTTATAATTCCTTGGGATCTCATAGGAATTTTCTTGGGATTTTATTCCTCTTAAAATATTTATTTGGAATTTTCCAAATAAAATCCCTCAATTAGCCTAAATCACCCTTAAATTCTCTTATAATTTCTCTAAGGGTAATTTGGTCATAAAACCAACTTTATAATTTCATATAACTCTCAAAGGATATTATCCCTATTTTTCCTTAATTTTCCATGGCTCGAAAATATTTTTCCTTATTTACATTTGACCAATTTTCTTTAATTAGTCAATTTCCTATAATTGGCTTGGAAAATTACTGTAATTATTTTCCACCAAAATTCTTTGACTTTTCCTTATTACTTTTAATCCTCAATAATTTGAGAATATTTCTTGTCTCCAATTATCATAATACTGGATGTGACATTTCTCCCCCCTAAATAAATTTCGTCCTCGAAATTTAAAGCATACCTTAATGGAAAAGCTCTGGGTACTTTTCCTTCATCTCAGCTTCCATCTCCCATGTGGCTTCTTCCGAGGAAAGACCCTTCCAAACCACTTTAACCAAGGGAATCTGCTTGTTCCTCAGCTGCTTGGTCTTCTGATCAATGATTCGTTCCGGTCTAACCTCAAAAGATAGATTATCCCGAAGCGCAATGTCATCATAACTTATGACATGTGTGGGATCTGGATGGTACTTCTTCAGTTGGGAGACATGGAAAACATCATGAATCTGGCTTAACTTTGGGGGAAGAGCCAACTTGTAGGCCACTGGTCCAGCTTTAGATAAAATCTGGAATGGTCCAACATACTTCGGACTGAGCTTCTTAGTCTTTAGCGATCGACCGACTCCCGTTGTTGGCGACACTTTGAGGAATACGTGATCACCAACGTCAAATTCTAACGGTCTCCTTCTTGTATCGGCATAACTCTTCTGTCTGCTTTGAGCCGTTAGAAGCCTTTGCTGAATAGCCTTTATCTGTCGGGAAGTCTGATCCACCATGTCGGGACCAAGAGAACTTCTTTCACTAAGCTCTGTCCAGCATAAGGGGATCTGCACTTTCTCCCATAGAGTGCCTCGTAAGGTGCCATCCGAATACTCGAATGGAAACTGTTATTGTAGGCAAATTCAATTAATGGTAAAGACGTATCCCAATTACCGCCAAAATCCAATACACAGGCACGTAACATATCCTCCAAGGTCTGAATGGTTCTTTCCGTCTGCCCATCCGTCTGAGGGTGGTAGGCTGTGCTGAATCTGAGAGTGGTGTCCATTTCTTTCTGTAAGGACCTCCAAAACTTAGAAGTAAATCTTGGGTCTCGGTCCGAAACAATACTACTTGGCACACCATGCAGCCTAACAATCTCCTTGATGTAAAGTCTCGCTAACTTCTCTGGAGAATCCTTTACATTCATGGCGAGAAAATGCGCGGACTTAGTCAGACGGTCTACTATCACCCATATCGCATCATGTTTAGCCACTGTCATCGGTAACCCTACTATAAAGTCCATAGATATACTGTCCCATTTCCACTCAGGGATATCCAGGGGTTGTAACTCTCCTGCAGGTTTCTGGTGTTCTACCTTCACCTTCTGGCAGGTAAGACACTTCGTCACATATTCCGTGATATCCTTCTTCATTCCAGGCCACCAGAAGAGTTCTTTAACATCATGGTACATCTTTGTCATTCCTGGATGAAGAGTATATTTGCTCTTATGGGCTTCGGCTAGTATTTCTTTTCTGAGGTCAGACACTTGGGGAACATAGGTTCTTCCTTTAAACTTCAGTATCCCTTCCTCAGAAATTTCAAAGTTCTTATTCTCACCTCTAGACAGCTTCTCCTTGAGAATTTTCGCTAGCCAGTCCTGTGACTGTGCTTCTCTGATTTGATCCTTGAGCAGGGCTGTAAACTGGGTTCTACCTCTATTTCCTTCTACTAATTGCATCTGATATAGAGGACCCCAATCTCTGAAATCCTCTACCAACTTCTGCTCTCTGATCATCAGCGATGCTACCTGTACTGTCTTTCTGCTTAAGGCATCCGCGACTACATTCGCTTTGCCTGGATGGTACTTAATTTGAAAATCATAGTCTTTGAGTAAGTCCATCCACCTTCGTTGTCTCATATTCAACTCTTTCTGATCATGAAGGTACTTAAGGCTTTTGTGGTCACAAAACAATTCTACGGTTGCTCCATATAGATAGTGTCTCCATATCTTCAGTGCATAAACTATCGCCGCCAATTCCAGGTCGTGGGTCGGGTAATTCTCCTCGTGAGATTTCAACTGGCGTGAGGCATAGGCTACTACCCGCCCTTGCTGCATAAGTACACATCCCAGTCCCTGCTTGCTAGCATCTGTATAAACCACATACGGTTGTGAAGGATCGGGAAGTGTAAGTACGGGAGTAGAAGTGAGCTTCCTCTTCAGCTCCTGAAAACTAGCCTCACTCTTCTCGTCCCACAAGAACGGCTGGTTCTTCCTGGTTAACTTGGTCAGCGGGAGAGCAATTCGAGAAAAGTCCTGGATGAATCTTCTGTAATACCCTGCTAGTCCGAGGAAACTTCTGATCTCGGTCACCGTCTTGGGTCTCTCCCAGTTGAGTACTGCCTCAATCTTACTGGGGTCGACAGCCACTCCCTCTCGGGAAATCACATGGCCGAGAAATCGGACTTCCTGGAGCCAAAACTCACACTTACTAAGTTTAGCCACCAGCTGTTTCTCTTTCAGGGTATTTAGGACAATCCTCAAATGCTCCTCATGCTCTTCTGGAGATTTGGAGTACACTAAGATGTCATCAATAAATACGACCACAAATTGATCCAAGTAAGGACGAAAAATCCTATTCATGTAGTCCATGAATATCGCAGGTGCATTCGTCAATCCAAACGGCATCACTAAAATTCATAGTGTCCATATCGGGTTCTAAACGCAGTTTTTGGGACATCTTCAGACTTAATCTTGAGTTGGTGGTAGCCAGATCTTAGGTCAATCTTAGAGAATACACTGGCTCCAACTAGCTGGTCTAACAGATCATCTATCCTGGGAAGCGGATACTTGTTCTTAACTGTGACTTTGTTCAACTCCCTGTAGTCTATACACAGCCTTAGACTACCATCTTTTTCTTGACAAACAACACTGGAGCACCCCATGGCGACACACTTGGCCTAATAAAACCTTTTTCAAGTAGCTCCTCTATCTGTTTTTTAAGTTCTGTCATTTCATTAGGAGCCATTCTATAAGGGGCCTTAGAAATTGGTCCTGCTCCAGGTACTATGTCAATTGTGAATTCTACCTCTCTGTCTGGGGGTAATCCTGTGATCTCTATCGGAAACACTTCCGGAAATTCCCTAACCACTGGGATTCCTCTTATCCCTTCCTCAACTTCTACTTGCACCGAGAAGAAAACGAGGAATCCTTGACAGCCTTTTCGTAAGCATTTGCCCGCTTGGGCCTCCGTAATGAAGTTTAATCTAACTTCTGGATTCAACTCTAAATCCCTCGTGGGTAAGATTAGGGTTTTGTTCTTACAATCCATTAGGATATTGTGGGATGACAACCAATTGAGTCCAATCACCACATCCATCTCATGGAAAGGCATGCATATCAAATCTATAGCAGTGCAACAGTGCTCATAACAAACTATACAGTTCAGGCATACATCAGATGTAATTACCCTACTCTGCGTTGGGGTAGACACATATATATCATATGGCAATGTATTTATACTCAAGCCAAGTCTTTCCGCACAGGCATATGAAATAAAAGAATGACTAGCACCCGAATCAAACATTGCAATCACCGGAGAATTGTTAATCATGATCGTACCTTGGATCATCTCCGGAGACTTCCGGGCTTCTTCTCTTGTGATGGCAAACACTCGGCCCTGGGTGCGTGGTCTTGCCTGCTCGGTGTTCTGTGGGCACTCTCTTGAGAAATGTCCAGGTTTGCCACAAGTATAGCAAACATTCTGCCCAGCCATGCATGGCCTGTCACCGTGATTCTTGCCACACTTAGGACACTCCTTGCCCTTCGGTGCTTTACCGCCTTTCTTGTTCTTGCGGTTATTCCAGGGTTGCTTCCTCTTCTTATTCACATTGGATGAGGTAGCACCTTGACCTCCTTGACCTCCTTTCTCTGCTCGTGGAGTTGTCTTGACCATCAGATGATGGTTGAAGCTGCTTTCCGTGATTCGGCAAGCTTCCACTGCTTTATTGAACTGCTCAAATTGTCTGGGAGCAATCATCTCCCTCAATGATGGCCTCAGTCCTCGAACCATCTTCTCCGTCGTCCACCTCTCATCTCTATATCGGAGATAGCTTGAATAATGAGAGAGACGGATGAACTTAGCCAAGTACTCATCGAAAGGCTCGTCATCCTTTTGCTTCAAAGTCAGAAACTCTGCTTCTCTTTCGTCGCGGACAGATCTCGGAAAGTACTTCTCATAAAACTGCTCCAGAAACACTTCCCAAGTCACTGTCGTGTTTCGAGCATCGAGAAGAATCTCAGTATTCTTCCACCAGCGATCCGCATCTTTCTCTAGCTTATATATCGCCATCTGGGCTTTTCGCTCTGATGAGCAGTCCATCACCTTGAAGATCTTCTCTAGGCGATTAATCCACTCTTCCGCCGCTTGAACATCGAATGTCCCATCAAATGACGGCGGGTTGTGCTTACAGAATCGGGTCATCCACTGTTGAATGCTATCGGGTTCTGCTGCTGGCATTGCCGGTCTTGGCAATTGTTCTGATGCTGGTGCTGCAGAGACCTCTTCCTCTGGTTGCCTCCTCTCGAGGTTTGCTAATGCTGCTGCTACTGCTGCAGCTATCGCTGCATCCCTTTCTTGTTCCTGACGAGCTTGAGCTGCTCTCATGTCCTCGATGGTCTTCTGTTGTTGCTCGAGGCGTTCCAGAATCAATTGTAATGGATCAGGAGGGACCCTTGCATCTTGCACTAGGGGTCTCTCTGGTGAAGGGTTTCGTCGGGTTCTAGCCATTGCTTAACTAACCGAATAGCATAACAAGGAACAAGAAAAATAAATATCATGCTTGGATTTCATTATCAAAACAGGCATACAGCAATCAGCACTTAAACATCAACCAGCTAGAATACAATCAACATACAGCAGCCAAGCATTGACCAGTCAAGTGCAATCAACATATCTATCGACCAAGCATTATCAGCCTAACCTACTCGGGTTAGCTGTACCAAAATATATCCTACGTTAGTGATAGGATAGTCCTAGCGTCTACAGAAAGTGAACAATAACAAAGCCCTCAAGGCTTCGAATCCAGTCCTCCACATCATCTCCCAGCAAGTAGTTCAGGCGAGTGATCTCATGGTTCCAGAAAGGGGTATTAGGTAGGACCTCTACCATCTCACTCAGCCAGTCATAAGGATCCAGGTAAGGGTTGCCTGGTCCATGTGCCTGATACAGCTCTCTCACACCTTGGAGGTAATCCAGGTGTACTCTCAGGTCTGCATCAACATCCCTCCTGATGTGACGCCCTATGAACCTCAGCCGGTCACTCAGCTGACCCACACTACGGATCTCATGACTAGGCTGAACTGGTGCAGGTACAATTGGTACTGCAGGTACTACAGGTATTACCGGGGCTGGGGGTACAACTGGTACAGTACTAGGTCCAGGGATATTACATTGGTACATAGCAGGAGGAACAGGCTGCTTAAGAGACTGAACATAAAGATCTAAATCTAATGGCTCTTGGTACATTCCAGTTACAGGGTTGACCAAGTCTCCGGGTCCGGGGAGATACAGCAACTGTTCTGCAGTGATTCCTAGCAGCTCTGGATAGTGCTCAACACAGTCATTGGAGCACACTGATGAATGGCCAGGGCTGACATCTCCCATTACCCATTCCTCTGGGTCTTCATCTTTGGTGAGATCAATTACTATTGGATCCCAAGTGTTGACTGACGGCTCAGATTTTGTATCCCATTCCATGGTAATCCCTATCTTGGTTCCTGAAAATAGGTGTTAGTTCTCTACATCTAAGGGATACTTAAGCAGAGCGTTCTATCTTATGCTAGAACCTCCGCTCTGATACCAAAAATGTCACACCTTACTATAATATTGACTTAGGTTCCTTTCAAAATCATTTTTGACCACATTGGATGGTCTTGGCTCACTTTTTACCATAAAAACGCTAATTTTCGGATTTTTACTGTTCATCGGGTAAAAATCCAGTTTTTCTGGCCCAACTTCAAAAATTCATAACTTATTCTACAAAACTCCAATTGGGGTGTTTCAAAATTCTACTTAAAGCTCTTTAAGTCCTCTTTCAAGGAAAAATAATCTCATTGTCCAATTATTTATGAGAAAGCGTCAGGTTTTTGAGAAAACAACACTGTCCATTTGCCAAAAACCCTGATGTCCAGATTCTGACCATTAACTTTGAAAAATCATTATAAATCGTATACTGGTCCATTTTTAACGTATTAGCTATCAATTGAAGCTCAGGATGTCATCTTTCATCATGCCAAATTTCACGATTTAAAACATTCAGGAACATAATCAAAAAGTCACGTGAACTGGTCAGGGTCAGTGTGCTTCCAGCACTGTTAGTTTAATATTTACATAACCAAAATAAGCTCACGAATTTTGTGGCTAAACTCCACAAATCAACCTTCAATCTGCAGCTTCCCTTTTGAAGATTCAGGCCCTAAAATGTTACATGATTCTTGGGGGATGAGATTTTTGGAAATCCCAGTAGTAAATTAACCAACTATATCACCAAGCAAGCATCATTATTATGCATGATCACATTAGCTACTATGGATGAACTAACATGCTTATCATTTGGCAAACTCAATCATGCAAAGGCCAAAGCAAGATACTATAAAGAGCAGCCACATAACAATCAAGAGAGCTCAATCACAATAATAGCAATTAACCATACAATAATCAACAATGCTAGTTAGTGGTAGTAGCTAGGTTTAACTTACTACCTTGCTTCAAAAGTCTTAGCCTTTCTTCCTTCTCCTCTTTCCCTTGGCAAATATCAAACCCTAACCATGTGATTCAACAAAAATGGCAGCAAGAATCATTATCCAACCATGAAAAAGCAAGAACATACATCAAAATGATTCTTGAACCATAAAGTTCCCTCCTTTGTTCACTAGTTTTAGATTTGGTTCTCTCTAACCCTAAAAATCACTCCTTGACTTGTTCCTACATGGATTTTCATGTAGATTCCAAAAATAGGCTTAGATTTGTGAAAATAAAACTGATTCTTCCAGCCACAAACCGACCAAACCACTAGAGGTTTTGACCCAAAATTTTCAGCTTTGCTTTTAGGCTTCCAACACTTGTTTCTTTTAGTCTACCCTATACCATTCCTCATTTTAAGCATCATGGAAGCCTTAAAACAATGAAAAGCTCATCCTAGGGTCCAGCTCTTCACTTGGCCAAAAATAACTCTCACAACAACAACCATGAAAAATGCTTTAAAATCACTTAAACTCACTTGCCAACACTAGGATCTAGCTTGTGTTGTTGTGTCTTAGCAAGTGTTATGATCAAAACTTCTTTCCCTTTTTATTAATCAGTTTGGTCCACATTAAGAGAGGGAAGAGACAGATTTTAAACCATAAAAATGAAAGAAACCAAAGCAAGAACACTTCTAGGACCAAGATCTAACCTTGAAACCTTGCTAGGATGATCAAAAGTGCTCCCTTTCTCCTTGTTTCCTCTCAAACTCTCTCTTTTTCTCTATTTTTCTCCCTTGCACGAAATGAACATCTGAAAATGGGGAGAGAAGAGCTTGATTAAGGCTTCAAAATATCCCAACCACCTTCTTTAATGATAGTCCAAGTGTCATTACCCTACTAAGTCTTGATTCCTCTCTCTTAATTAACATAATTCCAAATGAAATTATTTACTAAAGTCAAAATCCTCTCCATTCATGGAATGACACTTGGCTAATTCAAATCTTCTCCTTCAAGAGCTTGACACATGGCTCAATAGGATCCCTTGGATTTGCAAGACACCAATCTTGCTTTATCGGTATACTTTAGGCTCTGAGTTTAACTTCTTTTTTATAATTACAGTAACTTAGTCTCTGTAATTATTTTCTATCAGATCCTTAATTTATTCTCCTCATTATTGTCTTCCCAAATTGTCCTCTTTGTCTCAAAATTAATTTCCTAATATTTAAATAAAAAGGAAAATTAATTTCCTTCTCTTTAGGGATTTTTCCACTTTTCACATTTATTTGGAAAAATCTTGGACACTTGAGGGTCTCCATTTAATTCCATAATTCCTTATAATTCCTTGGGATCTCATGGAATTTTCTTGGGATTTTATTCCTCTTAAAATATTTATTTGGAATTTTCCAAATAAAATCCCTCAATTAGCCTAAATCACCCTTAAATTCTCTTATAATTTCTCTAAGGGTAATTTGGTCATAAAACCAACTTTATAATTTCATATAACTCTCAAAGGATGTTATCCCTATTTTTCCTTAATTTTCCATGGCTCGAAAATATTTTTCCTTATTTACATTTGACCAATTTTCTTTAATTAGTCAATTTCCTATAATTGGCTTGGAAAATTACTGTAATTATTTTCCACCAAAATTCTTTAACTTTTCCTTATTACTTTTAATCCTCAATAATTTGAGAATATTTCTTGTCTCCAATTATCATAATACTGGATGTGACACCCCACTAGTTCTTCGAGGGGGGCCCATGGTCCACCGAGTGCTTTGTGGTCTTTCGCCGGTGTAACACCTTATGTTTGTATCCTTATATTATGTCAAGTTAAGATATTCAGAAGCGTAATTACAGGTTACCGGGTTGAAAAATCTGAGTTTAAAAGTTTCTTTTCCCGCTTTACTATTCACTGTAACCTTAAACTTGGCATAACTTTGGAAAATCATAAACTAATTCTAGAAAAATCAAACAAGGTCATTCCAAGTCTCACTCGAAGCTCTTAACATCATCTATCAAGGAAAAATGACCTCAGGTTCCACTTTAATCAGAAACGCATCCGATTTTAATTTCAAAAAGTACTGTTCATTTGGTCATTTTTCTATTTTTTCCAGGATTTTTGCCTAACTTCAGAAAGGCATAACTTCTTGCACAGAGCTCCGATTGTGATGCTTTACCACTCATTTTAAAGGAAAAAATAAGATCTATTTGCATGCCAAATTTCAGGGGAAAAGTCAACCATTTGACTAGGGTCTTAATTGGTCAAAGTTTGGTCAAGTTTAGACCAATTTTATCCCCCTTTTTCACTAATTCTAGCACCATTTCGTTTTTCACCATAAGCAGACCGTACTCGCATATAAAGCTACTCTACCGTTAATATACATCCAAAAAGGTTATCATGTCATGTGTTCATGCTCAGAATATGCTTACATGGCTTGGAAAAGAAAGGTTTAAAACCATATAATACAATACATAGATCATAATTTCCTCAAGCCATGATTACTTCTTTTCCCTTCTCCTTAGAAGTAGTGGCACCTAGGATATCATGTTATAGGAGGAATGAGATTTCATAGAAATCTCAGTAGCATTGAACATACAAGCATCAAGTTAACATGCATAAGATGTCATGCTATGTGCAGTAAAATAACATTGCTAGCCATTATGCCATGCCATAACCATTCCGTATCCATGTCATCATCATGGAGCATATAATCATTCCAGTCAAAACTCAATCATGCAAGAGCCAAGGCATACATTGCAAGGAGTTCACATCATCAGTGCATAAACATTCTCATGGCACATAAACACACATAGCAGAAACACCAAATGCAAGTCAACAAAATAATTGCAAGTTCACGCTACCTCGGTTCCATGCTCAATGTTTCTTCCTTGTTTTTATTGCTTGAGGTCCTCCTAGGTTTCCAGAAAATTGCCTATCAACCATACAGTAAGGGTATGGTAAATTCCATATCCAGTATACAATTCCTTCTCAATGTAATACTATCCTTGTGCCTTTCAATTTATAACTTCTGTATACCTTTCCTA